ATCCTATTTGATTTATTTGTTGAAATTATTTGTCTTAGACTTAGCCTATGATTTATTTTTATGATTACGAATTCTATTTGATTTATTTGTTGAAATTATTTGTCTTAGACTTAGCCTATGATTTATTTTTATGATTACAAATTCTATTTTATTTGTTGAAATTATTTGTCTTAGCCCATTATTTATTTTTATGATTATGAATCCTATTTGATTTGTTGAAATTATTTGCTTCGATTTTAAATTATATGTTGTGTTGAAACTTAGGTGGAGTGGGATCCGTATCCGAACGGAGCAAAGGATTCGTACGAGTTGTGATACCCTCAGGATCGTCGACTCTGGTCGTGCAAGTTGCCTGTGATCTGCCACAACATTGTCGAGTGGCACCTCCCGGATAGATGTGTCCGACAATATAATTGGACGCAACCGATTCCTCTCCCACCACCGGACGTACATAAGTCACTCCACAAGTACAACAAGGATTTGCGGGGTACAATCAGTGATTGGCCAACCAAGCACCATAGATGGATTGAAATGTGGGAGTCTCGTCAGACGTATGCAATTGATGGGATCCCAATGACGAGGCCAATGGGGTACCAAGATGAATACATGATTTGGTACCGCAAGTTCACAAAAAGATGGGTAACCAAACGTGGCGCCGTGATCGGTTCGTTGGTAAGCACAATATCTATTTACTATATCACTTTAGCTACACAAAGAGTGTTTGACTAACATGTTTATTATTTAGGTTGATGGGTTGGAACTTGCATCAATGACGTTGGAAAATGAACCAGAAGCAAATGTGCCAGCTGAGAAAATTTCATTCTTGAAGATGTGGCACTTCCTGACCAATACGAGTATGGATTCCCTCCAGTCAGAAGGGAATTCGGAGAGGGATCATCAGGTCCTGCTCAAGGAGGGGGAGGAGGAGCCTACTATGCTTCATCATCTGGTCATCAATTCCAAACCCCGCAGCAAAGCGTCCAGACTCCGATGCCAAATGTTTATTATGGTCCTCCAGCCACTGCAACCCCACCTCCATTGCCACGAAATACTGGAATTGGATATGGAGTTAGTTCAAGGAAAAGATGTCGAAGAGAGGAACGCGGACGTGGTGCACAAGAGTGAGGTGTTCTTTAGAGTTGTTAAGTTGTTCTATTTCTTTAGAGTTGTTAAATTGTTAAGTTGTTCTATTTCTAATGACGTTGTTAAGTTGTTCTATTTCTTTAGAGTTCTTGTCATGTTCTATTTCTAATGGCGTTGTTAAGTTGTTCTATTTCTCTAGAGTTGTTAAGTTGTTCTAAATCACAACATAAAATTCATATTAAAACATAAAATTCAAATTACAACATAAAGTTCTTAAATCACAACATAAAATTCAAATTACAACATAAACTTTCAATTGTCAGTCGATGGCCCTGGACACTGGCGCCTATCATGCCCTTCAACTCGACATGCAGAGCACTTCTTCGGGCGGCGTCGCTGTGTCCTTGATCTATCCATTTCATTTGCAATTCGGTTAACTCTAGGTCGACCTTTGGTACGCTTCATGTGCTCGGGAGGGTACACTACAGGTCCATCATACTGGGGCCAATATGCTTCATGAGCTAATGGAAAGAACGACCCTTCCCAAACTTTGACCACGTATGGAGTCTTGTAGTATGGACTAACAAATATCAAAGTATCCAAATTAACGATTCTCGCTGCTGCATATGCATGAGAGCAAGGCAGGTGTCTCCCTTGAAACTTCCCACAAGTACACTCTCCTATTCCATTCCTTGCATCCAGTATGACTGTTTGAGCATTACCACCCTTTGAACTATCTGGTCCACTTCCTGTTACTACTGCGAAGCGGGAATCTCTTCGACTAAATAAAGTCACCTTATGCCATTTTGCCCTTTCCGACCATGGTTTCATATCATCCGTAATCTTCTTTGGGATGTAGATTCTAGCATTCAGCATCTGATATGCTGCTTGGTAGCGTTCAATGAACCATGTCACCGTACGAAAGAAGGTATGCAAGACTATAGATGAGATAGGCATTGCACGAAGACCAACATACAAACCATTGAGGCACTCACCCATGTTCGTTGTTGTTATTCCATACCTATACCCTTCATCTTGATGTAACGTCCACCTCTCAAAAGGATGAGTTTCTAGCCAATCTGCACCTTCAGAGTGGACCTCCCTTATGCTCTTAATTTTGTCTACAAACTTTCGAGTCTGAAAAGCAACAGCTACAATAAAGCAAAATAAGGTTAGTAAAGGAGTATACGCATTCAACCAATTGATATAATCACAACATCTTATTTGTTCTTACCAGCGTGCCAAACTGCACGTTGTCCATAAGTTCTACCAAAGTGCTTCTCGTAATTGCTTTTGAAATGTCGTATGCACCAGCGCCACTTCCACCCTAGCTCCTCGGGTAGGTCGTAGAAAGCATGTCTAATTCCATGGTGTCGATCAGAAAGTATGGCAATGTTCTTCCGTTGAGTGACATGAGTGTATAGTTGGGAAAAAAACCATGCCCAACTTAAGTTGTTCTCCGATTCGACTATAGCAAAAGCAAGCTGGAAAAGTTGCATGCTGCCATCAACACTAGTGGCAACGAGTAGAGTGCCCTTGTATTTGCCAGTCAGAAAGGTGCCATCAACTTGGATTATTGGCTGACAATGGGTGAAACCATCAATGCATGGTTTGAATGCCCAAAATAGTCGCTTAAACACGCGTTTAGCACCCCCATAGAAATCTTCGTAACTAGGCACAAAAACAGACCCAGGATTCTTGTCCACCATTGCAAGAATCAAACGAGGCATATTAGCAAATGACTCTTCCCAATCGCCATACACCTCTGCCATAGCTTTTTGCTTCCCATGCCATGCTTTCTTGTAACTGATGGTATAGCCATGTCGATTCTTCACTTCAGCGATGACACTCTTCACGGTGATCCCAGGTTGTGCCTCAATCAAATGTTTGATTGTTTGTGCAAACTTCCTTGCACTCAATTGTCGGTGATCTAGAGAAATCAGTGACGACCTACAAGTGTGGTTGTTGTTTGTCTTACGAATGAGCCAAGCCCCATTTCTTTTAACATATGCTGCCCGAACATGCCACATGCATCCGTCGCCATGGTTCTCGTAATGAACATGAATTTTTTTAGTGTCAGAAGTGATGACACGATATTGAAAGCTTCTTCGCGTAGCAAATTCTTTCAATGCATCAACCACCCGAGGCTTTCCTCCAAATGTTTGGCCACGAATCCAGAATCAGGAGTCCAGATAGGTATAGGAGGGAGGTCAGGATCGTCATTGTGAGCATAGAGAGGATGTTGTGGCACCATCGTGTAGTGAGGTGTGGGGGCTCAAATTCCCCCTCATCAACTTCTAGATCTTCACCATCTGAACTACTCATTGATTCTAACTCTTCATCTTCCACGTCGCTTGCCTCGCTAGTGTATGGAGGACTTGGTTTATCCACATACAGATCATTGTTGATGCCAGATGCTGGTGTAGATGCTTGTCTGGGTGACTGTCTGGGTGCCCATATGTAATCTCATTCTTCACCCCATACTGGCCACTCATGTCCGTCATGTTCCACCAATGGACCAGTTGCAGTTCGATCCTCTTATGTTGGCCATGGTGCATCATGCAGAACTCTAAAATCTCCTGAACCGGAAAACCGTCCCGATCCTTCACCTTGTTCGGTATAACCGCCCCCACCATATTGGCCAACAACTTCTGTCTCGACATACACCTCAGCAGTTGGAAATCTGTTCTCTGCAATAAATCTCACCATCATATTAACGTCATCATCCTCAGACAAAACTGATCCTTCATATACAAGTGCATAATCCTTGTAAACCGGCATACGGTAAGTCTTGCATACTCTTCGCCCTCCTATGCAACATCGTTCCGCACAAATATGGCTGAGTTCTTGCCAAGTAAATATGCTCTCAATCCGGACAGTACTTGATTCACCATCTTCGTAGTCAATACTATCATGAAAATGTGTAATTCGACCATTCCACCGAATCAATAAGTCAAATTTTCGAAATTTTCTACCCATTTCTGCAGTTTATAGAAGTAGCCCATTACATACAGTACAAAAAATTCTAAATTAATCCAAAATCCTAATATGCTCATTCAAACAACGTAAGCAGAACTTACCTCCAAAAATTTTCTTCTTTGCTCAGCTATGGTGCTCCAGCTGCTGCAGTTTGTGTTTGGAAGAAAGAAGATAGAAAGTAAAAGAGCTGCCAGAATGTGCTAAGTGATGGCTTTTTATCCTCGTAAACTGATGCAGTGGTTCGAGTCCAAAAAACTCGAACTATGGTAGTTCGAGTCCATTAAACTCGATCTACGGCAACCAATAATTTTACCCCTTGCACCCTATTCTGGAGCATGTCGGATCGAAAGCAACTGGACAAAATGATTGAGCAGTGGTTCGAGTTTAGAATAATCGAACTACACTAGTTCGAGTCTCTAGAACTCGATCTATGCCAACAAAGAATCTTATCCCTGCAACCCTATCCTGACACTTCGGTTGACCAGTGGTTCGAGGATTCTGAAGTCGTTTTACTAGATCGAGTTTATTGGCATCGATCATGTTGGATCGAGTTTTCCAAACTCGATCTACTGTGATCGAGTCGTCCAAACTCGAACTATTTTTGATCGAGGTTTAAGAACGCGATGTTGTTGTAGTTCGAGTTTTTAATCGTCGAACTGTATTGTTGTTCGAGTTTATGGAACTCGAACCCCTTGAAAGTTGGGTATTTTGGGAAAATTTTATAAAAGCTATGTATTCTGGGAATTATGTTTAATTTTGACTGTATTCTGGGAATTCTTCCTTATGAACCCGAACCTGGGGATCTATCCATGACCAGGATGAAGCTTGGGTGAAACCCGGGGCAGTAGATTAAATTAAGCGAGATTGAGAAGCGGAAATTTCACCTCGACCGTCGCTAAAGCATTTATAACACGATCCGGTTCGAACTTCAATGCGGTGCCGTACCGGTCTCTTGTCTCTCATCATTCAGAGAGGACGACAATGTAAGCATTTCGTCCACAGCTTCTGCAACTGCAAGGAGGCAATCCCTCGCTTCGGCACGGCAGGCTATTGTCTGACTCCCTCCCTGTCCGGCATCCTTTCTGTTTTCTTTCCCGGTGTCTCATCATTTTGTTGGGGCCGGATCGCAAGTGAAGCTCTCTAAGCCCTTGGTTCGCGGTTCTACGACGGTTTCCACTATCGCGGACAACAAACTCGTTCGGCGGCTGCTTGCACGTCCGGCGATCCGGAAGGCCGTTTTCTTTTCATCCTACAAGTCGGCGCCATGGCGACGGCATCAGGTAGTTTTTTTTTTTGGGGTTCCCGGTTTGTTCTCCGAAAATTCTGTTTTGCTACTAAATTGGTATCTTAGGTTTGCTGATTAGGGTTCCTCTGCTTGTGAATTCGTAACTCTCTTCCTATGCCGCTGGGTACTGAAAGTTCATTTGTGGTGGTGGAAATCTTGTAGGTGCCTTCAAGTCGAGGGAGGATCACAGGAAGCAGATCGAGTTGGAAGAAGCCCGTAAAGCTGGGCTTGCTCCTGCTGAGGTTGATGAAGATGGGAAAGAGATTAATCCTCACATTCCTCAGTATATGTCTTCCGCTCCTTGGTATCTTAATGCTGAGAAACCGGTGAGTATGCTTTCTTATTCAATCTTTTTCATTCAAGCTTCTGCCTTTTCATTACTTGCTGATTCCCATCACCGCACGCTCCTTGCCCATCTTTGTTAGAGTTTGAAACATCAAAGGAAATGGAAGTCGGATCCGAATTACACAAAATCATGGTATGATAGGGGTGCAAAAGTATTTCAGGCAGAGAAATACAGGAAAGGCGCGTGTCAGAAGTAAGTAGACTTCAGATACCTGCCTGCATTATTTTCCTCTGTTTGCATGTGTGTCTCCGCGTGTTTAGGTATGGTTTGAATGAGTAATTGTAACTCATCCTGTCTGATTGTTGTTGCAGCTGTGGAGCCATGACACACGATGCAAAAGCTTGCATGGACAGACCTAGGAAGATAGGGGCGAAATGGAATAACAAGCATATTGCCCCTGACGAAAAAATAGAGACTTTTGAGCTTGATTACGATGGCAAACGCGATCGATGGAACGGATATGATCCCGCCAATTACGCACTAGTTGTTGCAAGGTATGAAGCCCGTGATGCAGCTAGGAGCAGGTATGTGAAGGAGGAACAGCTCAAGAAGCTGGAAGAGAAAAATAACAGCGAGAATCCTGAGGAAGTTAGTGATGAGGACATTGACGATGATGTAAGAGTGGATGAAGCCAAAGTTGACGAGTCCAAACAAATGGACTTTGCTAAGGTTGAGAAGCGTGTAAGGACAACTGGTGGTGGTAGCACTGGTACTGTTAGGTAAGGATAATTGACATTGTTCTGTATTGTTTGTGTTTGTTTTATCATGGGTAAGATTATGACAGTCGGTTTAGAATGGTTTGCAGTTGCTGGTTGGATGGTAGAGAACATGTTTCGCTGAAATATTCTTGTTACTTGAATGCAGGAACCTGCGTATTAGGGAAGATACAGCAAAGTATCTCTTGAATCTTGATGTTAATTCTGCCTATTATGACCCCAAAACCCGTTCAATGCGCGAGGACCCACTTCCAGATGCAGATCCCAACGAGAAGTTCTATTTGGTGAGTGGCAACTTACAGTATATATTTTTGTTTGAAAGGTGTGGGTTCTAGTTTTTATGGTTTGGCTTCAACAAGTTCCTGACCTTTCCAATTAATAACTACAGGGAGACAACCAGTACAGAAACAGTGGTCAAGCTGAGGAGTTCAAGCAGCTCAACATCCATTCATGGGAAGCTTTTGATAAGGGGCAAGATATTCACATGCAAGCTGCTCCTTCCCAAGCAGAGCTGTTGTATAAGAACTTTAAGGTGAATAAGGAGAAACTGAAGACTCAAACAAAGGACCAAATGCTTGAGAAGTATGGGAATGCTGCCAGCCAAGATGAGATTCCAAAAGAGCTTTTACTAGGACAGAGTGAAAGTCAAGTTGAGTACGATCGTGCTGGGAGAATCATTAAGGGACAGGTAATGAGAATTTTCTTTTTGCTTCTAGTAGGTTTCTCTTGCACCTTTTGACTCGGGGGCTGTTTGTATGAGGAGTTCTAACGGATCAATTTGACACAATTGTCTTGTTTTGAGACAATTGCGCCAAATTCACCTGTTTGGCGACATAAATTTTGGATGGAACAATTTGGCATGGGGAATTTTGAATGGACTCGTTTTGAGGCAATTGCAATTGTCTGGGGCGGGGGCAGGTAATTCGAATCGACTCGTTTTGCAAAATGAGACAATTGACCAAATTATCTCGTTTTCTAATTGATCCATCTAAACGACCCCTTTGGTTATGTTTCATAGAGTTGAGCTATTGCTGCATTTGGAACCCTGTTGCCAGTCTGCGTGGTTGTAGATTTCCTAAGATTCACATGGGAATCGATGGAATTGAACCTGTCTCTGCTTCTTTGAGTTCCTAAAGGATGGTCAGATATTAGATGGTACTGGTCATGATAAACAACAGTATACTGATCCTTCTTTCTTCAATGGTGCTTACAGGAGGTTGTGCTTCCCAAAAGCAAGTACGAAGAAGATATCTACATTAATAACCATACAAGTGTTTGGGGTTCATGGTGGAAAGATCATCAGTGGGGCTATAAATGCTGTAGGCAGACTGTTCGTAACAGTTACTGCACTGGCGCTGCTGGTATCAAGGCTGCAGAGGCTGCAACCGATTTAATGAAAGCCAACATTGCCCGGAAAGAGGCTGATGATGGTTTGTTTCCCGACTTCTATCATTCTGCATGGTTTCCTAGCTGATTAAGATATGATCAGCATGGACTTGAAGTTGTGTATCATTTGTCCTAGATTCTCATACTTTATTTAATTCAAGAAGTGCGTCTTGATTCCTAGTATCATTTTTTGTGCTGTGATGTAATCCTAGTGGGTTTGATGAATTTTAAACAGAGTTGCCAGCACCAGCGGAGGAGAAGAGGATGGCTACTTGGGGAACCGAGGTCCCTGATGATTTGGTGTTGGATGAGAAGTTACTTGCTGAAGCACTTAAAAAGGTGACAATATGAGAGTGTCCAGTCCATCTACCCTTCTTGTTCTCCGGTTCCGCTCGCGAGTTTGATGGGTTTATGGCTTGTGCTTGGATAATTGATTGATGTTTTCTCTCCCCTTACAGGAGGACCAGAGGAAAAGAGAGGAGAAGGATGAGAGGAAGCGGAAGTACAACGTCAAATGGAACGATGAGGTTACCGCGGAAGACATGGAGGCTTATAGGATGAAGAAAGTACATCATGATGACCCAATGAAGGATTTCCTTCACTAGTTGAAGGAAGGCAACCCCGTGCCTTTTGCGCTCAGCTGCTGTCTGGCCTGGCCTGGCCTGCTGCTAAATTTACTTGGTTGGCTTTGAAGTAGAACCAGCATCATGTGATGAAACGGCTTGTAAGCATTAATGAGAACAACAGATTGAAGCAACAACCAATGTACCAAAACATATGTTGAGATCAATTAGAAAAATAAATCCAGCAACGGACTATTATCCAACTACCCAATATGATGATCTATTAGGCTGTGCCCTTGGGCGTCATGAGTCATGACGCAACCATATCACATCTCAACTCTTACGTGTATTTTTAGGCTCTCACATTTTAGAATAGATAAACGGTCTTCTTCTTTCGTCGGTTTTCGTTGTTCAGAAAGCCAGGAATTGGAGTCTTCAGAGGATAAGACTTGACAGACATCTCCTGCAAATACACAAAGGGATTCAATACATCTACTGTAACTACATTAAGGGATTAAATATTCAAGGAAATAAAGTAGCAACTGGATTAATTAGGAATCAAAATGCTGAAGAATTATACTTAATAGTTCTGTACTCTTGGGTTGTTGAGAACCTTCCCCGTGCTTGGTTAGTAGGTTTTTCTGAAGTCCTGATAGTAGAGTGAATGCATTATGTTCTAAACAGTTAGCCTCAGCAACATCATTGCAGAGTAGGCAATCAAAGTTCTTTTACACCATCTCCTTCAGAGACAGAGGAAGAAGCTGTCATATGTTTGATTGGTTGGTAACTGCCATCAAAAGCAGGGTTTAAATCATTCCTCTTCCTATATACAGTGAGATCAGGTGGAGCAAATGTTAACATGATACTAATGATTTTCATTTTAACAGCAAAAGGTTTGTTATGAGTAGAAGCCACAGGTGCATGAACTTTGACTCCTCTCCTGGGTATTCATGGCAACTTGAGAAATAACGAAAAAGTTTAGAGCTTTCCCCCAAATCATTAACACTGGAGGTGGCAATCACTACATTTGGGAATCATGCATGTTTCTGGGGTACAGATGTGTTGTTGTTCATCATGCAAACAACCACAACCATACCAGCAGTTTTAGAAAAAGCCAATACCTTGGCTAATAGTGCAGCTTTTGTGGCGAAGTCAAAGCCTCAAAAGTATCATAGGAGGTGAAAAGTTTGGTGCATGAAATGTTGTCCCCCCAAAATCCCAGCTGGGTCATTCTAATTCTATGGGGTTTTGCTTTTCTTCTTTTTTACAGCTAGAGTGAGTGCTAATGGTGGTGTATGATATGATTGGAGAGCTTGAAGGGCAAATGGAGGGTTTTTCTTTTTGAGTGGGTTGTAGTGGATGACAAAATTACCAAGTGTTGGTAAATATCCAGAAAAAGAAAGAAAGGTTAGGGAGGTGCAGAATGTGATATGGTGGAACACAATCAATCATCATCACACATATGTCACACACCAAAAAAAAAAAAAAAAAGTGGGAGATGATTTGAAATCCTGTATGATAATGTGGAATTGATGGGAAGAAGTGAATTTTGAAAGCATGGGTAATTTCTGATGTACCCAAGATACAGAAAAATGAGCATTCCCTTAATTAAATGTGTGAGAAGGTTTATTACTTTGAAATTATATATCGGGAAGTATTGTTCATAATAGATATTGGATGTTATTGTATATTGAGAATCAATCTTTCTTCATTCAATGGAGAGAGTCATGAAAAAGTTTCTAAGATTCGATCTAAGGAAATTCAATGTATTTTTAATGCTTGAATTTTTATTTTTAGAGGTAAATCGGAGGTTTGTCGTCGCTTCAATGATTACTCCATATAATTTATTCAAAAATAATTATATTTATTTGACTGAAATGTAGTATATCTAATCACAAGAATGTACGGGGTCGTTTGGAAGTTGCGATTGTTTTGGTGAGATTGTTATTATACATGTATTGTTTAGAATGCATCATTTTTTTAGCATAAACAATACATTGATTGTTTCTGTGATGTGATAGAAACTATCACTCAAAATGATGATTTGTGAGATTGTTGAGTCGAGATTGTTTTGTCTCAACTTTTAGCTGATGTGACATACACAATTAACGTACTAGACGCTGTATTTAACAATGCATCAAATTCGATAATACATGTATAATATTGTACATATATTCTCAACAATACATCTATTTAACAATCACAACTTGCAAACAATTCCGTAATACAGTGAACGGTTATGTCGAAAACATAACTTCTTTCATAGCCATACATGTATCATATTATACCAATGCTCACAACCAAAGAAATAGTGATCGCCAACAATAAATATCTTATAAGGATTGAGAATATGATTTGCCATCAACTTTCAAAATAGTTACTCGAAGATTGTTGAGTGGGAAAGGCAGATGTTTTTTTCCATTTTTCCAAAAAGTGGAAATCTCTTGTGTTTCGTGGTTGATAAACCAAATCTTGTGAGAACCAAAAGGCAGAACTGAAGTCTGTTCTTGACTATTCCCACTAACACTAAAAATAACAGGTAGGTTATATATTATTGACCAACTAATAAGTCATTGAGAAAAGGGATAATATGAAATGATTGATGCCATTGGGTGACTTAAGATGAGAATTGGGCACATATAACAGAACCCAAACCTTTGACTACTACTCCCTAGATTGTGGTTGACATTATTCATACATGCATCTACCCTAGAAGTCATATGCTCTTACACGAGACAAAAATTAAGAAATTTAGATCATTCAAATTGGTGTACACTTTAACCCAAGTAATTAATCAAAGATAAACCCATTTCCCCATATCCTGCAAAACCAGCATTCTCATATTCAGTTAAATCGTTGTATTGTAATGAATCACTACAATATAAATACATGCATTGATACAATAGATGCATTTTGACAATACATTGTTTGGTTGTTGAGATTCTAATTTATGTATTGATTTGCATAAAGTTACTTTATAGGGAAATGTCACATTTACCCTCACCTTCTAGTATAAAACAAAAAATATTGGGGATATAAATGGAAAGAAAAAGTGGACACAAATCTAAAAGGAACAATCACAACAATCTCAACTTTTAGTTGAGATTGTATAATGCATCATTTTTTGTGATTGTTGGTGGGACCTACACAAAACAATACATGCATTGTTTTACAACTTGACACTTCCAAACATTGTATTGTGCATAATACATGTATTTAACAAACACAACTCTAACAATCACAACTTCCAAAAGACTCCTAAATTAACATAGACTAATACATTCAAAAATTGTGCATACGTCATACTAGTTGTTCATACTGTATCATAAAAAATTAAAAATCCAAAATTTTCAAATTAATATATATTGTTCACAACACACTATTACTTTAGCGTATGGTACACATAGGGTGCTTATGCGGCTGGGTATTAACCGAATCATATCCAAAAGAGACAAGTTTAGGTTTTACCCAAAATAAAAATATCAAAAAAGAATTTTACCCAATTTGATCAGGTCGGAGGGGTTGGATATCTGTTGGTTTGGAACCAATATCATCCCTAGTTGTGACTTGTGAGAGGAAATGAGTAGTAAGAGAGACAAACTAGAGATCATGTTTCTCACTGATTTTGGGCAGGGGACATAATTGAGTATTGACATAGTTAGTGAGCCAGACTGTTAGTTTTACTTAGGTTGGACCTTAAAACTATATAAAATCGTGAATTAATTATAGATTCTTTAGGATTTATTTGTTTTTAATCAGGATTTTATGAAATTTTAAGCTAAGAAATTGTAATAATAAAATCAGAATCTAAAACTATAGGTAAGGTTTTATAATTGTAGAATTAAAATCAAGATTTAACTGCATTTATTAACTTGAAGGTAGTAGAGTATGCAAAAAGTATTAATTAAAGATGTTGGTTTGTTTTTTTCTTTTTTGAAGGAACGGTACGAGGCACTTTACAAAGTGGGCTTTTGGTGTCGCAAAACTAGATTGGCTGATATTGGGTTATTTCGTGTAGGTTTAGCGATGACAATTTGAACCCGTCTCGTCGGCTATTATCCGATTTGATTCGTGATAGGGTGAGTATTACCTGATCCGTGGTAGTGTGGGGCGAGGTATGAGTATCCATTTCCGATCCGACCTGCCACGTCTCGCTCAGTTTTTGGCCGATTCTATCTCAATTTCTTACAAAAAATATTCATATTTCTTCTATTTTGACTTTCCTAAAACTAGTTAGACTCAACCTTTCAACTAAATAGACTCAATTACCTATTCAATTACCACTATTTTCATTGATAAATTGTTTTCCCTTCATTTTTATTGTAAAAAATTAAAATTATATGTGTATTTTTTTTCAAACAACATGTAAGAGTGGGTCGCCCCGCCCAGTACCCGCACAGGTATTACTTGCCCCGACCCGCAATAGGATTGAGCGGAACATGAGTATGGAGGTACCCGCCCGCCTCATTGTCATCATTAAGGTTTATTGCATTATTATTTTTTTAGGAAAAAAATATTTAAGAGTGGGTCGCCCCGTACCCAGACAGGTATTACTCGTCCCGCCCTAATCCGCAATAGAATAGAGCGAGACATGAATATGGAGGTACCTGCCCGCCCCATTCCATATCAAGGTTAATTGCATTTTTTTTTTAATACATAAAAGAATGAGATTCCATGCACACACAAAAGTCCAAAACATACAAAACCAAGAAAAAACGCTGACTTGTTATGTTTTCCTTCTCCATCCATGAGTTGCAGCGAAAGCATTTTGACTTTGGTACCGTTCTTCATGTGATGGATGGGAGATCTAATTATGCAAATGAGTGAGAGAAGTGAGTTAAAATGTATAATGTGAGTACATACATATAAATCCAATAAATAAAAAATATATATATAGAGAGAGATATGGGAGGCTCCAAGTTGCAAGCTAACAAAAGGTTTTGCTTATGGGGAATGCTAAATTTGTGAAGTGAATAATAATAATAATATACATACAAGTGCGGGGAGTTTTTTTGGAAGTTTATATTGTGTCTCCACTTTGGGCATAAGAGGAAAGCTTGGATGTTTGCTTGGTCAAATTTTCGATGAGGTCCAATTAACTCTATTGTGCTCTATATTCATTAGTGTCTTTATTTGTAGGATTATTGATTATGACCTAAAAAGGGGGTTTTGTTACCTAAAAGGGATTGGAGATACCACCTTACAGACAAATAACAACGGGACAAATGTGAAATGCAGTTTTTGTTATAGGGTCATTAATGTGTCCTTTCACTCCTCAAGGAATAGGGGAAACTAAGATGTGTTTGCCATGCACTAGTACACAAATATTTTGTCATTTCTATCATCGGACGTTCTCTGGACTCATTTTCAAAT